GTATTTGCTAGTCTAGTACTGGAGAAATTAGCGTTTGGATGCGCATTGTGAGCCTTTAAATAATGTCGCTACGCGTGCGTCGTCAGAAACACGTGTGATGTCATCGTTACGCGTGCACCGTGTCACCGGTATTGACGGAGCGTCACTTCGTCACGCTAGTAGGGTAGGAGGTAGACGAGGGCTCCCTCTAGAGGCAGGAACATTAGCTCCCCCCCCCCAGTGTTCGACACTAGAGGATGTCACTCGCACTGTTCGAGCGAACAAACTCGTAGGATCGTAGATCTCGCGGCGGCCGTCGCCTATCGACAAGCGAACGTCGTTTTGTCGGCGTGTGAACGTCGCTCGAGCGAGAAAGAAGACTGGTAGCCGGTAGTATGTTTATATATCACGTCAGCTATTATTCGTTTATTGCCTTCACCCTATACATCATAAATCATACACTACATGATAATAATAATAATTACTGTTACCAATATTGTTGTTGTTGTTGTTGTTGTTGTTGTTATTATCATTACTATTATTGCGCACAACCAGGTAGATATGGGAAATGAGTGGAGCTTCGTTTTCGGGGGGAAATGTCTAGTTTGTAAACAAACTATAGGTGGACAGCTACTGTATCAATGCACCATCAATCACACAACACACCACACAATACAGGGTGATACTCCATTAGGAGTGTTCCCAACTTTAATGTCATTAATGGTCATAATATATATTTATGGTCATAATATGGTCATATATTAGTTTGTGGTTTAATGTCATTTAGGTTAGGGTTAAGGTTAGGATTATCAATCATTAATCATTAATGATAGCAAAGTTGGGAACACTCCTAATGGAGCGTTAGCCCTAATACACTGCGAATGTCTGACACATTCTAAACACACTGGTAATGTACGTATTTATATCTGACATCACACATTCTAAACACTAGTAATGCACTTGCACTATGGATATCTGACATCACACATTCCAAATACACTAGTAATGTACTTGTACTATGTATATCTGACACATTCCAAACACTAGTAACGCACTTGCACTATGTATATCTGACATCACACATTCCAAACACTCTAGTAATGCACTTGCACTATGGATATCTGACACATTCCAAACACACTAGTAATGTACTTGCACTATGTATATCTGACACATTCCAAACACTAGTAACGCACTTGCACTATGGATATCTGACATCACACATTCCAAACACTAGTAATGCACTTGCACTATGTATATCTGACACATTCCAAACACTAGTAACGCACTTGCACTATGGAAATCGGACACATTCCGAACATTGCACCATGTACTTACAGTACTCACACGTGACAGTAAAGCTCATAGGGTCTATGTCCCCCAGGGTACTGCCGGAACGTACCCTGGGTATGGTCCGGTATACCGGAACGTACCCTGGTAACTATCTGATAGGGTTAGGGAGTAGGTGTAGGCGACTCCTAGTCTCATTAGTGGAGTAGGCGAGGTACGGTCCGGCATATTAGATAGTTACCAGGGTACGTTACGGTAAACAGGACCGTACCCAGGGTACGTTCCGGCAGTAACCTGGGGGGACATAGACCCTCTCAGCGACAGTAAACATTCCAGTAAAGCTGGGTTTAAACTACCGCCATTATGTTGGCGAATTGGCGAATTCGACCAACTTTCCAATTCGCCAACTCCCGAGTTGGCGAAAATAGAACATGTTCTAATCTCCCAACTAGTTGCTATCGATCGGTTGGTCGCGCAACTTAAGTGTATACACTGCCGATTGTCGGTTGTATTCTTGTATAGTTGGGAAGTTGGTCCAATTCGCTAACACACAGTTGGTAGTGTAAACCCAGCTAACGTGTACTCACAGTACGTTACATTGGATACTAGACCGAATAATTCTGTCCCAGATAACGTTTTATATTTTGGATGCGTTACACTGGAGTTATACGTTAATATAAAACGTTATCTGGGACAGAATTATACGGTGTAATTGAATACGTGCATAGAGTGCACCGATATACTAACTATAAGATTCACACATTACACACGGTGACACTGCTACAGTCTCATTATTATTAACGGTGAATCGTAATATCTCGCCGTGCTATCGTAGAAAGTAGCGCAGTGCGCAAGCTACTAAATACTCGGGGAAAAATAGTTTATTGTTGTTTGGTCGCGCCACAACGGTGGCAATGGTCTTTTGTTTTCGCAATTGTCTACTGCGTGTTCTGTGGACAATTTGATTGCTATACCGTAAACGGTACCCATGGTCTTTTGTTTTTGATTGCGCAATTGTCTACCGCGCGTTCTTAGGACAATTTGGTTACTTCACCATAAATGGGAGCCATGGTCTTTTGTTTTTCGATTGCGCAGATGTCTACTGCAAAATAATATGGTAATTATTTTTACCATTTATGAAATGTACCACCGATTAATATGGTACGGCGAAATACTACGTCACGACCGTCTTGTCTACCTAAAACCCGTGCAACGTAACTCCCTCACTCGGTAATCACAGGGGGGGGGCGGATCCAGATAGGGGTCATGACCTCGCGCCCCTGCGTGGTCGGCCGCAAGCCGGATATATCCGGAATGCGGCGAAAAAAATTTAACGTCGAGTTGAAACTGAATAAAGTCTGCGCGCTGCGAAATAAAAATAAAATAAAAGAAATTACGCGCGGTCAGACTCCATCTTTAGCGTCTCTACAGAGGGGCACACCCCCTTCCCCCGCCTCTTGAGCTTCACCTCCCCCTCCCCCATTATGGAATTCCTGGATCCGCCCAGTAAGCAACTCCTCCATTGGTACATTTTGTGCGTTCATGGTGCGCGCGCGCGTCAACCAACTTCAAGTTGCCAGCTACCTACCGCAGCGCGTTGTCACGCATTGAAACGCTCCATACTCCTACCCTGCAACACCAGAACCGCTGCGACTCGCCGTGCACCACTGTCAGTCGGCGCGGCACAGCAGGGCAGGGGGTTGAATAACCTGATTTCGCGCGAGGCACTTGTTTTTCCGTCGTCTGCGGGTCAAGTGTGCCCCTCGCCGCCCCCCAGCACTGGTCCCCTGACTGAGCTCTCCCTCTCCCCCAGCCTCCGCCACGTCCTGCCTGGCCTCCGCCAAGATCCTGGCACCTGTTTGGTCCCATAAGAGCATAATGCCTGTGGTTCCAACGTGGAGAAAGAGTTAAAATTACCTACTCACCATCCCTAACCCTCACTATCACAATGGCGCCCCCTATTGGCTACCTACAAATCTCAATACAACCGTGATATGCGAAGAGGACTGCCGCTTCGGCGGCCCCACACCAGGTGGCAGCACGCACGCGAGCGGCAAGCCCAGAGCGTAGCAGACGCTCTCTTGTTCGGCCCGACGCCACGAACTCGCGCGCGCGCTGAGATCTCGTTCTCGCCGCAGCGCCCCCTATTGGTCTCGCTCGACAGAGATTCGCTGAAAAGGGATGCGGGCATGTCCCCCTCCCCCTGCCACGCCCCACCCCCCAGGGTCCACCCCCCTCCCCCCTGCCCAGCCCCGGTTCACCCAGCCCTGCTAGGCAGAAACCTACAACGTATAGACGAATCGAGGCGCAGTAGAAACGCCGTTGGTGCCGCGGATTCCATTTCGGAAAGATTTGGAAAGGCAGACCTTCTATCGTGGCGCGTCACACGACTGTCAGTATCGGCTGCTTGTAACTTGTCAAAGACACATGTCTTCTATAATTTCACTGTGAAAGCAATCATTGACAATCACTGATAAATATCAAAAACATGAAGACAATCATTGACAATCACTGATAAATGTCAAAGACATGAAGACAATCATTGACAATCACTGACAAATGTCAAAGACATGAAGGCAATCATTGACAATCACTGACAAATGTCAAAGACATGAAGACAATCATTGACAATCACTAACAAATGTCAAAGACATGAATGCAATCATTGACAATCACTGACAAATGTCAAAGACGATCATTGACATTTCTTTCTATGGGGTGGCCAAAATCTTTCTCGAAGAGCATCTTCTTTAGAAGATTCCCTAGTTCTTACAAGTACGAGTATTATTATAATTAAGTGCGAAGTGTCAACACGTATCCAAGATGGACGACAGCTGATGAGTCTCTGGATAGTAGGGGTGTAACAATTAACCGCGATTCAACTGTATCGCGGTAAATCCCGTTCGGTTCGGTTTTCTTTCTTTTTTCCGTTTCGGTTCTTGGTTCGGTTCCGGGAAATACATTCAACCCACTCTCAGTTAGGGGGGCGCACACGGCAAGCAAACAGCTCAGCACTTACGCCAAGCCCCGTCCCTCACACTTTTGGCCAATGAATAACACAATAAATGTATAATATTATGATAGGTATTATTATTATTATTCAAAATGGAGGGAAAATTTCCCAATCTGCTCAGCATTTTAAATTTTTTACTACTGAAAATAACCGAACCGAATGAACCAAACCGAAGAGTAAAAACCGAAAACCGAACGGAACCAAAACAAAATGTATCGTTACACCCCTAGTAGGGACCATCCCTACAGAGGGGTTACTGCGCACCTCTCATCTCGGGGGGGGGGACTGAGGATTCTCTCAATAGATGTACATTTGTATATAAAACAAAACATAAGTTAGCGTGGACTCGATATACAGTCACCCGTACGAACACGCAGGCAGGTGGCGCCATCTACGCTCAGCGACGCCCAACGTAGAGGGCGCTAAACCTCGCAGCTGCGTAATGTGCTTGTGTTTCGGAACAGCGATTGCATCCGCTGGTCGAATCGCCTCCACACTGAAAACCCGCGAGGGCGAAAGCAAACCGAGTGACGACTACGTTAATACCCGATTTGCAGTTGACGATAATAAAGTTAATTGTATAATCATAATCTATTTTTAAAAACAGAGAAAAAATAAGTCGAAAACAACACGATAACGATTTTCGATACACAAAATAAAAACAAGAACGCCGGTCGCGACTGCGGCTCTCGCATGCAGAGGGCGCCACGGGTACGAACTCACAGCGCCCCCTACATAGATGGCGCCACAGGTACGCTCCCGACTCCCCCGCATCGCTCATCCCGCGCGGCGCGACCCGACGACCTGAGGTCACCGCCGCCCGCCGACCTCCAGAGGTCACGCAGGGGTCAAATGTCGAGCTTTGTTGTGCGGATGGTGAGTTGTGGATTCTCAATGTCTCGCAGACTCTGTATGAGCTTCAGTTCTAGCTGCGCCTTGTTCGGCTTGACTCCCTCGCCCGCCATGTCTGCAAACACACAGTGTGGGAATACAGCGTGGGAATGCAGTGTAGGAATGCAGTGCAGGAATACAGTGTAGGAATACAGTGTAGGAATACAGTGTGGGAATGCAGCACGGGAATGCAGTGTAGGAATACAGCGTAGGAATACAGTGTAGGAATACAGTGTGGGAATACAGTGTAGGAATAGTGTGGGAATACAGTGCAGTAATACAGCATGGGAATGCAGCGTACGAATACAGCACAGGTAGTGTAGGAATACATGCAGAGATGTGACACGCTAGTGCATCATGACACACTAGTTTCAAAAGCAACGACGGAAGGCACCTTGTGTTGTGAGCGAGGAACAATGCAGTTCCCTTTTCCTTTCATTTATATGTTAGGCCATCCTTAAAAAATTTTTGCTGTCCCCCGACCCCTGATTTTTTTAATGGGTAGGTAGGTAGGTCTTCTTTTTTTTGAGGCATAATAGTTATTTTAAGTCTGTCCTCATGTTTGCCACACATGCTTTGTGTTTCAGTCTTAACTATGAATAATAAAAAAAAAAAAAAAATGGAACCCAAAATGTAAAAAAAACTTGGGTCGCGGCTATTTTCGTGGGTCGGTCAGAGGACAGCAAACATATAATTTGTTAAGGATGGCCTTACCTGTGTGCTGTGTGTTAATACGCATGACTAAACTGAACAGAGCGATAGCCACCAGACGTGACTAAGAAAGTAAATCAGCGTCCAGACATGACTAACAGAAAACAACGGCACCAGCCAGACGTGCCTAACAAAGTAAATCAGCATCCAGACATAACCAACAGAAAACAGCGGCAGCAGCCAGACACGACTAACCGACGACGGCGACGGCCGCACGACCGGCGCCCCCTACCTACCCTGCGCGGCCTTGAACGTGCGCCGCAGGACGTGTTGCATCGTAGAGAGCACCTTCTCGCACGCAAGTGGGAGGTCCTCGGGGTGGCGGTCGCTCCAGACGAGGAGAAGCGCGGCGAAGAGGTCACCGGTGCCGGTGAATATCGCCGGAAGCATCGGTATCTCCACCCGCAGCGCCTCCTTGTGGCCATCTGCCAGGAGAGATAGATAGAGAGAGATGGTGAGAGAGGTGGTGAGAAAGATGGTGAGAAAGATAGAGAGGGATAGTGAGAAAGATGGTGAGAAAGATAGAGAGGGATAGTGAGAAAGATAGAAAGAAAGATAGAGAGGGATAGTGAGAAAGATAGAAA